TTTCAGTTCGATGTAATGCGAAAATTCTGCACATCTCTTTTTTTTTCGTTCTACAGAACAAAATTTTTGTTATTATTTATTCTATAAATGCAGGTGATTATGATTATTCTCCATTGTGCATGTTTTTACCTGATTGTCGAGATAGACCAAATGGTAATTATGTTGATCAATATCGATCGAATTGTCAATATCATTATACATGTCTTGGTAGTCGAACATTTAATTATACATCATGCGAAATTGGTTTTCGTTTTTCTGTTCAACATCAAAAATGTTTACCTGCTAAACAAGTTAAATGTTTAGGCAATTATTTTAATAATCCGTTATTATTTCAAATTATTTCTTTCTGCATTTTCTTTTTTAAATCCAGTATTTGAAAAACACAATTATATATTTATTTCATTCATCGAATATGATTGATACAAGAATGCTAGATTAGAAATGCTTTTTTTAGAAGAAAAATAATTTTTAAGCAAATAAATATTTATATAAATATACATAAATACTGCCTGAGTAGGGATTTTGTTTTGAAGATAATGTATCATTTAATGTTGCTGGTCAATGTTGATTAGTTCGATGATGATGATGTAGAAATTGATGAGTTTAGTGTGTTTAGCGAATTAAGAAATAGGCCATAGCGACACTTACGTCCAATCACACTCTTCTTAATATTTCTTTTCCAATGTAAATAGCTGTTGAAGCTAAAATTCTAACTGGAGGGTGTGAGTGTGAGTGTTGCTGTGGATCCAAATAGATTGATATAACGCCGACATCCAAAAATCCTGATGAATATCGACAATTTAAATTAAATCTTTTAAAGAAATTCAACAACAAAAATACTAAATGTTTTCGGTAAGTAAAACAGAAACTTCTATTGATGTTCTTCGACAAATTTTATTCTTATATTTGCCATTAATAACAATGTCTCGATAGTATTTTACTTTTTTTACAATTACGTCACTGAGAATTATTTGCGATACTAAATAAAAATTCTAATTCTGTAAATTCTATGTGTAGTTAACAAATTACTCTTTATAGCATCTGATAAAAAAATTGTTAATTTCATTATTGAAAAGTAAATTTCAATCGTTCTCTTTCTCGAGAGATCTTGATCGTAGAAAATTCAAAAGACAAAAATATCGAAATTGGATATGTACTGAAAAAAGTGATATTTCCATATTGTCAGTCAGTATAAATGAAGAGAATAGTAGAACTGATACTCATCCTTGTGTGCCAATAATTATCTCTTGTATTAAAATGATTGCTGAACATTTCAATGGCACGACGCTTATATAATTTCTTAATGAATTTAATAAAATTCCACTTTTTATGTCAATAACTGATGTATTAGATGATTTAATTGAATATCTAACAAAACGTGCAATGACAATCAAAGAAATTTATATGAATTATTTATTAAAAAAAATCTTAATAAATTAACGAAAATATTATCATCATTATCTATTCATGGGAAATCTTTAAATATAATAATAAATACATAAAAATGAAAATATATGGATCTATTTTTAGAATTTATTTGTTATTTTAATTTTCTAATCAGACTTCATGATATATTAGGTTAGAAAATTTTATATGTAGCTACAGAAAATAAAAACAATCAGATAGAAAAATCTTAGTATGGACTTGAAAAAACTTATCAGAAAAGAGATTTTTATGTTTAACTACCAAAAGACTTTAAGTATATGTTTGGAATTTTAGAACTTTTGGTAATATTGTAATTCATACTTATTCTATGAACTGTTGACTATTGATCAATGTTTATTTCGACGAATTTCCATTTGAAATCATTACCATTCTTTTTTAATTAATAACGAGTTCTAATACATTGAAGGAATATACAATTTTCAAAAAGACTTTTAGAAAATGAGGAATATAAAAATATAATTTATTTTTATATTATAGAAACAGGCATATATTATATATATATCTAGGGAAAACTTAGTACATCCTGATCAACATAACGTATATTTAACAATTAAACAACAAAAAAATAATCATAATGTTCATAAAATTAGTAAAGAAAATTTTTGTAAATTTGTTTGTTATTTAACTTCTAAACAAACATCTATTCTTGTTGATTATACTGATCCAGAATATCAACGATGCATTTTCATCTTTAATTAGAATACATAATATTATTCCACAAAAGCGCTTAAAAAATTTATTAAAATTAATGAATAATGAAATTAACTTTGGTGAACTTTCTGCAATTATTCTTCCAAACAATAACTTTAAGTCAATATAGATTTATTTGTTTTTCTTAATTAGAACATTAATCATTAATTTTATTATTGAATGTGCATTAAGATTCGACAAAAACTTCTTATTTCATCAATATTAATTGAAAAATTCCAAGAAATGATTTCAGACATCGGTACAGAATATTTTACTCATATTGAACTTGATTATCTTGAAGAAATAAAACTTATTGATATTGATGTATTTGTACTTTTACTTAAATAACCATTATATAATTATTTAATTCGCCAACACAAATATGAATGGTTTCGTAATAAAGATAATCATCTTGTTCAAAATGATCAACAGACTTTTAACAGTTAGTTATGACATAGATTACAAAGTATTTTAAAAAAGAGGATATTTTTTTTTGGTCTCCTACAGCATACTTCTGAAAGCAGCCAGCTTATATAGTGTATATTCAAGTATCGGAATATGAGAGTATCTCTCAGGTTGAGTCAGATATAGCAGAAGACATACAGTTTTCAAAATTTTTTTTTTCTGCTTCAAAAACTATTGATTAAGACCAGAGAGATAAAATTAGTGAATCAGTTTTAAAGCGAGGAAAATCGATTTGTGAAAACTTTATAAATTCTCCTACACCTTACTCAACTCAAAGGATCTTTACATAAAACAAAAAGAAATCTCTTTTTTTTTATTAGTGTTACCTAATCATTTACATATTCTCAATCGATTTATTGAAAAATATTCTATATTATAAGAATTATTTCAAATAAAGAGTGTTTCGAGAAAGACAGTGGAATTTTGTTATTCAATTCGGAATATTATTTATCAAAATAAAAACTTCTTAAAATCTGTTGTTATGATCAAATATTAACATTTAATAATTTTTCAATATATTTCTCAAGAAATATTTTCTACTACACAAATATTTGATAGGAATGATTTATCGCATTATCAATTGATATCACTGTTAGACATATATAACAAGAGAATCTAATAAGAAATTTTCAATTTTGAATATCAATTAAGAAAATACTGATCGTCAAAGTTAACGAGTAAATATCAATAGACCTAATTCGAATATTATAACTATTTAGTTTTTACTAAACATTTAACTGCTAATTTTCTAATCAAGAGAAACTTATGAGAAATATTAGAAATAAAAAAAAATTTATTTTAGTAATAATCTTTTTAAAGACACAATAACAATAATTCTTCTTTTGTTTTTCACTTCGTACTGTTCTTATCATCCACAATCTGATTCATATTGAAGAATGTTTTTTTAAAATTGTTACCAATTGGATATTGTCTATTCGTTTTATTCAAAAGATTACAATTAAGACAAACTAGTCTGATACTTCCATTTATACTTGATTGTTGTACTCCATATACATATATATATATATACTCATCATTTTGTTCTTCAACATAAAATGGAACAAACACAGTGATGATAACTATATTCGATTATATTCTTCATTTTAATCATCGAACTATAATCAATGAATAATTAAGATAATTATTCGATGGATTTCAACTTTTGAGTGTTTATAAAGCTCAGCTATCCATTGAAAAAAGAATTGGTAGTTATTAAATTATTATTCAGCATACTTAAACAACAAGAACCATTAGCAATTCATTGAATAGATGTCTTCAAAAAATGCAAAACAGAAATTTAGTTTTGAGAAGTCTTGAGTTTTTACAGGCTCGTATCCAAATATTTTTGCTGATGTCATTCTACTTTACAATTTCGATCGAAAATCCTTTTTAGTTACACAAATGTATTTTTAGATTGTCTCATTATAATATATGAACTGCCTTTGATTAGCAAAAGAAATTACATCAAGTTTTACTTTTTAAATATTCTCAATGAATTACATTATTCAAATACCATTTTGTCATCTCTTCCTAATAACTATACAATAAATCAATGTTAGAAATGAAAATTTAAAATTATTTATAAAGATATTCTATGTGATGATTTTCTTCCTATTAAACAAATAAATCAATCAGTTAAAGGTTTTTTTCTACAAGATGTAAATAATTATTTATTAAATAAAGAAAGAAATAGGTCATTTATTTTAATTTAGTATCTTAATTAAGATATACTTAAAAATCAATCAAAGCAATTTTAAAACTTTTCAAGAAAAATTTTTACTGAATATACTTAATCATAAACAATTGACTAATACAGAATTTGAATTAGCACTTAGTCAACATATGCGTCAACGTCAAGTTATTCAAAAAAATATATATTAAATGCTTAAATATTAAAAGAAAAAGTTGGCTCATGCTCTTTCTAAGATAGATGAAAATACACAATCATTTTCGAAGTCCACACAAATATCATCTCGTTTAACATAAAATAGTCTTATTAAACAAAATAAATCTATGATTGGAAAAAATTAACAGTTCTTAACAATAGATTAAAATACAAACAATAAAGTATTACTAAATTTACGTTCAATACGTCATAATTATATACAAACTAAAATATTTCAAAATCAATAACATTCATTAGTTAAACAAGGTGATAGCAATAATGAGGTATATCTTGAACTTGAACGTGAACTTAATATTATTGATTCTAGTAGTTCGTTAGATCTTATAAGACATATAACATATTATATATCATTATTCATTTAACAAAATGGATCAGTTGCTGAAAAAACCATTGATGAAACATTTTCAATAAAATTGAGTTTTACTTTTGATGGATTTATCAGTTGTTAGTGAATTAGCTAAATCTGATGAAATTAAATCTTATGCTGAATCAATATTTTGCCTTAATGTAAATATATATATATATTGCATTATTTGTTTTACAGTAAAATACTGAATAACTTTCCTATTAGTTATATATATTGATAGTCTACTTATCTAGTCAACTTTTAAAGGTCTCTATTCAATAATGTGCAACAAGTTTTATTTATCTTGAAATTGAGAGAATAGAATATAGAGTAAATCAAGTAACTATCATGTGAAAATGTTGCCAACTATGAAATCGTGCCAATCACTGAGACGCTGAATAAGTCAATTTCAAGGGAAGTTTCTTTTTTTATATATAGACCTTATAATCAGTAGAAGCCATTCAAAATCTAAGCCAGAACTAACGTATCCTAATAGAGACCTTCACATTTTCAAGAAACACTGGTTTTGAACTTAACGTCAAAAGAGGAAAATTATCATCATAAAACTCATACTGTAAATAGTTTACGTTCAATTTTGCAGAGACTTGGACGAATTCTCAATGACAATAAGACCTATCCATAGAATAGATTTCAACTCGAAACTATCATTCGGTCAGTTGCTAGTCTTATGCTTATACGAGGAAAACCAATTAAAATACATGTGTCAGACAAAATTGAGATTTAGGCAAAGCTGAACTTATTGTTATTAATGATTTAAGAAAACTAATGATAATTCAAATAGTATCAATTTAATTGAAAAGTACACAACAAATTCGAAAGTGGGTGTGGGTGTTGGTAAAGGCAAGAGATAAACCCAAGCCCACACCCACACCCTCTAAAGAATATTTGAGCACCTATCAATTGTAAATCGTCGTCTGATTTCATTTCAATATGATCGTTCATCATTGCCATGGAATACACGTCGACCTGTCAATACCTAACGTGCTATCGAATGATCGTCTGTTACTTACATTAATATATTTTTTTCGTTAATTAACGATGCTATTAAGAGAATTATTATGCAACAATTAAAATAAACTTTATATCATCATGTTGATGTATGTACTGGCAATAACCATCTGAAAAGTGAACGAAAACACTTTCTTTTCATGCAATTGTACTAACACTGAGCAAGTCTCAATTTTTTCCAATTAAAACGGTGTGTGCGCCAAACTATAACTATTCTCTTACGTAGTACAACTATAACAGGCAACTAACTCGATTGTCAATTGACTCAAAAGAAAAAAAATATTTCACATGTCTCAATGGCACACAACTGGCAAACGAAATATCGTTGACAAGTCTTTCACCATCAGCGTCAATTCATTCTTCTCCTCCTCGAAAACAGTAAAATAATGGCCGCATGAAACCTAACAACTGAAATGATGTTATGCGTCAATTATTCGCCAAAAATGCCCCTCTTATGACAACTTACCAAGAAGGAAATAAACATGTCTCATGTAATTACACAATGTGAATAACGCGAGATGAAATTGAAAGAAAAGAAGAGAACTATTGCAAAACCAACAACTTGAGAGTAAGAGTGAAAGTGAGAGTCTCGTGGATGTGGATGAGGATGAATCAGAAGATGGTTACTCTACTCTACTTATCGATGTAATTTCAGACAACAGGTTTTCAAGACAAGAAGTTGAAAGTATAGAAAAAACAAGATTTAAAAAAAAATTCCAGACTAGTCAAAGTCGCTTGTCTTCGATTGATTTCTAATTGTCTAGTAGATGGACGGAAGTCACTCTGTTATTTAGACTGTATATTTATCAAAAACATTTTCTGCACTACCAACTAGTAATTCTCGACATTTAACATGCGAGTTTTTTCTAAGTGTTTGTGTTAAATATATTTCAAATTTTTTATCAGTTCGACACAAATAACTTCAACCACTATGATTAAAGAAAAGAAGAAGATCTATTTAAATGAATAATTTCTATTCTTATGGTTTGGAGGATAATAAGCCATGTGCAATACCAATTTCTACAAGTTGAATTTTTCTTCCTTCTTCTCGTGTTGCAACATTTTTTACTTTATTAAAAAGTTTTTCTTTCTCTCAATTAAGTGCTTTATTATATTGTTGAGAATTTCTTTTTTGTTGGTGATTCAAATACGTCTCCTACTTCTTCTTAGCTTGGAGCATTTCTGTTCATTCTTCGTCTGGTTCTCCATTTTTTCTGTCGTTATATGTCTATGTATCCCTATCATTTTTTAAAATATATGTTTCTTTTATGCGATAGTATTGATCACAGTGTATTGTTTATGTAGAAAGACAAAGACACAAACAACTAGAAATCTGTTGTCTTTTGAAGATATGTTGCCTTGAACAAAAATTTTTTATATACCATCTCTAAAATTCGAAGGTCGGTTGTAAACATTTTTTTTTGTTCCATCAAAATAATTCATAGACCAGCGATGGAAAGAATTAGTGTCTCGAATTAATACTAGAAAAATTGTAATTCAAAATCAATGAAAACAAAATATTTCTGGTGATAATTGATTTTAGTCGACATGATTATTAGGAGTCACTGTTAATCAATAAAAACTGAATGAATATCAACGATA